AAAATGACTGAAGAGGAAATGTAAGCTGGTCATAAGGTAAATTTAAATTGTTACTACATAACTTATTTATAGGATTCTCTTACAAGTTGTAAGTTGTTATTAATCAAGCCTTAGAGCATTGCTGAAAATGAGACGATTGGCTGTCCCAGGATAGGTGTTTAAGCACACATAGTTACATAACATGTCTTCTGCTTTTATCATGAATGATATGCTTCGCTTAGGTATGCGTAATGTTAGAGGTCGTGCTAACAAGCTTAATGATTGTTGATCTCGGTCCCAGTTTTGTATGGACCAGACTGTGTGTATGTGGAACAACACAATATTCACATGTTCAATAAACACTGAACTTTATTCAACACCTAACCATTATACTACTGCATCATGGGAATGGACCACAATGTCAGAGGTCACGGTCTCAACTAACACAATCATCAACATCCCCCCTTCTTCATAAAAGAAAAATATGCTCTACAAAGGACAAAGTGAGCTAAGAGGAGATATAACAAGTTCACAATACAAATACTGTTGCCCAATCAAAATATGATCTGTCTGGTGCTCAGATCTAGATCCGTACTGATCAAAGTCAATGTAAGTGTAACCAGTCTTTGACAGTCATGTATGACAATGCATTTCCTTGCATTTAATACAACTCCAGAATAAACAGTTCTCCATTCCACAAAAGAAAAGTCTATGAATATAATAAAGTCTTTGCAAACAATCTGTCAGTGTTCCTTTTCAGTCATTGAACACGTAAACATACATTAAACTTTAAGTAACATTGTCCTTTAAAGATTCAAATATAAAAAATTTGAATGTAAGTGAACAAGAAAAAACAACTGTTCTGATAATGTCAATGAAAACAATGCACAAATTTGCATACAAGAACAAGGAAATCCAGTGATTCCTGAAACAAATTACAGTCCATGTAAACAGTCCTCAGAAAAATGTCTTATCATGTTAACAGCAATTTCACTTGTAAACTACATAGTCCTTAAGATAATTAGGCTTTCTGCACTCACGTTTTGGTCTTATTGTTTGTGGAATTTCTTTTCCAGTCTTAAAGGACAATAGTCATATAAAAATCCATTTCTCGAATTCTGAAGATCCAGCACTTAATCTATACACTACAGTTATGTTTTAATCGATCCCCGTCATTTAAAAATTATAAAAACAATCTATTAGTAGACAAAAAGCGTTTTAGTAAACCTCACCTCAATATGCATAAACGAAGCAACAGATCTAGGTCACGTGGTACTGTGACGACAATCACGATAAAGGTCTATGAGACTCAACTGAGCTGCATGGTGCA